GCTATGAGTCGCAGGCGACTCAACGGCACCTAACAACAACAGCAACATTCACCAGGTCTTTCTTCCTCAGAACTGCTGTGTAGATTGGAACCAACAACCTTTCAGTTAGTATCTGGAGTATCTGGACCTTTATTTGTTGCGTCACCAAAAGCTTCATCCACTTCAGGACAGAGTAAATGCACCTAAACTCTTCCAGAATGCCACTTGGGATTGTGTTATTTTCCAAAACAGGTTGGCAGAGAAAAGATTGACTGCAAGAGAAGATAAGTCAGCTAAAGCCTTAGAGAAGAGAGGTCAGCAGGGCGTTGTTACCCTAGATGATGTTAAATGTGAGTAACTGTTTCTCCATCTTTCCAACATGTTGTGTAGTGTTAACCTCTAAGGCTGTTCTTATCTCTCTTTTAATTTTCCATCTTTTCTCCTTTCAGATGTTGCATTGCTTTTGCTACAAGAGACTGAGATGCAGCGGATCTGTTCCTTCACAACATTTATGAAGTATGTACTGCTTATGAGACGATTTTAGATCTTTTGTCCTTCATTTTGAAGTAATCGCATATTAAGAATGCTGACAAATCTGATTTTTAAAGAAAGGGCACAAGGCTACGCAAATCACTCTTTCTGGACTTAATCGCGAAGACTGAATACCTAACAATCAGGGAGAAGAAACAGAAGCTAAATAAATAAACCCCAAATAAAGTTCCAGAATTATGGAGAGCATGATATCAGGTCAGGTACCCATAAAAACTCCAGTGCATTTATGTAAGGAATATGCTCTTTTATTGAAGATCCATTTTCTCGCTAGTGAAATTTGATGGCCCCAAGAAGAATTTGATGAGTGGTTGGGGGAAGCTCCTTGACCTTTCTAAGCCTTAATTTCCTCAGCTTACAAAACTCAACTACTAGCCTCTCCTCATGACTGTGCATGGAAATTCCTTTATGTGGCTCCTGGCACTTAATGAATTCATCAGTTAGGAAGAGTTGTGTGTCAGATGCTATTGGTTCAAGTCCCCTCAGCACTGACTTGAAGGCTATTGATGGCAAACACCTGGGATTTTCTGTGTAAAGTGTTTATTCCACCATAGAGTACACTCAGACGGTCTGTCAAACCAGGAGTGCTAGAGTATCTCTGCCAGCAGCCTTTCACCATTGATGTGATGGAAGGTCAGTAGAGAAATGCCCTGGTCTTCTTGCCTGTCATTTGGGATAACTGAGTTTTCCCCACTGACTCTCAAGAGTCCCCACAGAACTGAGCTTCATTTGCCCTCCATGATAATGAACTAACACACCTTTTGTTGACTTCCTTTCCTTCCTCATCGAACTTCCTCTGACACACTACTGATACTTGCTGACATCACTTCTAACTAAATAAGCTACTCACTTTCAATACTTTGTCTAAGGGTCAGATTCTGGGAGAACTAACCCAAGGCAAGTGGTTATTGTGTGCTGTTGAGTTGGAATCGAGCCATACCGGACCCTCCAGCAGGTTTTCAGAGGAGATTGACATCCTTCTCCCACAGAGCCCTCGGGAGTGCAGTGCAGCTTCTTACTTTGAAAAAAAGGAAAAAAAAATTGCAATGCTCACTTTCATCTGACTCTAAAGGTCTAGTTAAAGAAGGTATGCCAGAGGAAGAATTTCCATTTGAGGCTAGAAAGGACACAGCAAAAATCTTGTAAAAAGATCTAAAAAGAAAACAATGAGAAGTTAAAAACAGTGAGATAGGATTATGAAGCAGTACAATCTTATTGGACAGTTGCTTTCCATTGAGTAGATTCTGATTCATGGCATCTTCATGAGTACAGAGTAGAACTGTCCTATAGAATTTTCAAAACTGTGACTTCAGAAGCAGATTCCCAGGCCTATGCACTGAAGAACCTCTGAATAGATTCAAACCTCCAACCGTTCAGCTAGTAGTTGAGTGCTTATTAAATTTTTGGACCACCCAGGGACATCTTATTGGAGAGTAAGACTTAAGAAAATGTAATACATGCATACATTAACACTTTTCTTTTTAGGAACTTGCTCAAAGAAACAGAAGGATAGTGACTGGCACATTGTCATTCTGTTGTTTTTTGTTTGTTTTTTTTTTTAAGAAGACTCAAGTATCCTCAGCATTGTTATGTGCCACTGAGTTGCCTGCAACTCATAGCGACTCTGTACAGTATCTCTCAAACCTGCACTCTCCTGTGCTCTGACAAACCTAAATCCCATAGCCTTAGTTACCGTCTCAGTCCATCTCATCCACGGTGTTCCTCTCCTGCACTGTCTCTCCACCCTTCCAAGCATGATGTTCTTCACCAAGGACTGGTCTCTCCTGACCACATACCCAATATATCCATCGATAGAGGATTAACATCAACAAAATCGTTTGCTGTTAAGTCTAACTCATAGCCATTTTTAGAATACACTATAAATGCCTATAACATTTGTAATACTGTAAAAAAAAAAAAGAAGCAGCAGATTGTTATGTCTTTTTCCAACAGGGTAGCTAGTGAATTTAAACTACCTGCCTTTTAATTTAGGGAGCTCTGGTGGACTAGTGGTAGATCTGCACTGCTAACCCAAAGGCATGCAGTTTGAATCCACCAGTTACTCCATAGATGAGCATTCTCCTCCTTTGTGATTTACAGCCTCTGAAAACCCTCTGGAAAGTCAGCTATGAGTTGATTCCAGTATGACAGCACATAACAGTCTTTCCATTAGCATCCGAACATTTAACCACTGACATCACTTCCACTAAGATTCTTTAATAAAGGTTGGTTGCATACATTATGAGATGTAAGATGTAAGATTCTACTGTTTAAATAATGAGGAAAATGTTTACGTAAAATAGAAATAGATTCCCAAAAAGCAAATTGTAAAGAATTGTATGTATAGTATTACTTGATCTGTTACCAAAAAAATTTTAGAGACATGCATGTATGTGAATTGGGTCATTCAGGACCTGTGGTGGCATGATCATTTATGATTTAAAACACTTAAGGAAGGATTTGTGTCAAACACTTCTCTTGTAACTTTTTAAAAAATATTAAATTTAGTAGTACAACCAAATTGGTTTTCTAGTCAATTATTCATACACATTTCTTAAACCATTTTGCCTTCTAAGATTTATCCTTATGATAATATGACCTTTCTGATTTTGTAGGTTGGTTGTTTCTGAACTTCATCCCTCCTCCTTTATAAGTCTGTTATCATTTGTTTGACTGAAAGTTGAGTCATGAGGTTCATTTTAGTTCCATGCTTGCAGGGTAATTGAAGACAATCATCTTCATGGTTCTGCTGGTGGCTGTTAGACCAATAAAGTAATATTTTTTCTAATTTTTATTTCTACATTTTTCTCTTACTCTCACCAGGAACCTTCTATTGTGACCCCTTTTTAAAACAATTAGCAGTGGTAACCAGGAACACTCTACATCTTCCAGGCTCAGTATCTTGGAGACTGAAGTTCACTCAGTCCCTTAACCCTTTGGAATATAATACCCATTCACCAGTTCTAACTCAGAGTAGCCCTCCCTAGAGTTTCCAGAGCTGCAATTTTTTACTGCCCTTCTTTCTCTCAAGGAGCTGGTGAATTCTAACTGCTGACCTTTGGTTAGCAGCCAGCTATCTTATGCACTACACATTTTATTTTCTTCACTTTTTGCTCCAGACAGATACATCACTTGGAAACTTTTAAGACCCAGGTGTTACTTACCAAAGTAGAATGAAGAACATTGTCTTTGTGAACTGTGCTATGCCCTTGATGTGCATTGCCCCCAACTTGAAGATCCCAAGTTCCCAACCAAGCCCACTGACTCATTCTCTGAAGATACTTGTTAAAGCTAAGTTCAAGCTGCTCTATAAGAACTGGCCAAAACCAAGGCCTCAGGAATTGACAACATTTCCATTGGCATATTTCAACAAACAGACACTGCCCTTAATGTACTCACCAAGTTGTGCCAAGAAATCTGTAGGACAACTACCTGCCCAACTGACTGGAAAATATTTGTTATTTGTTCCCATTCCAAAGAAAGGTGACCCAACAGAGTGCAGAAATTATCAAACAATATCTTTGGTACCACATGCAAGCAAGTTTCTGCTGAAGATTATCCAAAAACGACTGAAACAACACAACAACAGATAACTGCCTGAAGACTGGTTTTAGATGAGACCGTGGTACTAGGGATATTATAGCTAATGTCAGATGGATGTTGGCTGAAAGTAGAGCATGCCAGAGGAATGTCTGTGTTTCATTGCCTATGCAAAGGCATTTGACTCTATGGATCAAAACAAACTGGCTGACTCTGAGTATAATAGGAATCTCAGAACAACTTGATTGTGCTTATGCGAAGCCTATACTTGGGCCAGGAGGCAGTAATCAAAACAGAGCAAGGAAACACTCTGCATGCTTCAAAATCAGGAAGGGTGTACACCAGGGATGTGTCCTATCTCCATACCTTTTCAATCTATATGCAGAGCAGATTATCTGGGAGGTTGGGCTCTATGAGGAGAAGTGTGGCTTCAGGATTGGAGGACGACTCATCAACAATCCGTGTTGTGCAGATGACACAACCCTGCTTGTTCAAACTGAGGAGGACCTGAAGTGCTTGCTGCAGAAGGTCAAGGACTGCAGCCTTCAGTATGGATTGAAGCTCAACATCAAGAAACCAAAGGTTCTCAGCACTGAGCCAATTGGCAGCATCATGATAGATGATGAAGAGATTGAGATTGTTAACAGCTTTAGTTTGCTTGGCTCTACAATCAACACTCTTGGCACCAGCAGCCAGGAAATAAAAAGACGAATTGTAGTGGGAAAGTCTGCTGTCAGAGACCTCTCTAAAGTGCTGAAAAGCAACAATGTCAGTCTGGAGACTAAAGTGCGCCTGAACTCAGGCAATGGTCTTTGCAATTACTTGCTGTGCTTCAGAAAGCTTGACAGTGACTAGGGATAATAGAAGGAGAATTGATGCCTTTGAGCTGTGGTGGTGGAGAAGAGTATTGAATATACCATGGACTGCTAAGAGAACAAACAAATTTGTCCTAGAGAGGGTGAGATCAGGATGATCCTTGGAGGAAAGGATTCTGAAGCTTTGTATGACATATTTTGGACATGTTGCAAGGCAGGACCAGTCCTTGGAGAGGGATATCATACTTGGAAGGTTGGAGGGACAGTGCAAGAGAGGAAGACCCTCTATGAGGTGGATTGATTCAGTGACTGGGGTAGTGGGGGTAGCTATTGTACATAGGGTCGCTATGAGTTGCAGGAGACTTGACAGCACATAACAACAGTACATGGCATAGATACGGTGCACTAGTGGAGACATAGCCTTGGACGCTACATCACTGACATGGCTGTGTAAGACCTGGTATGGGAAACTGCTCTAGCTCTAGTGGCTATTTTCAGAGATTAGGATAGTGACCAAAGGAGGAGGGGGAGAACTTTTCACTTGGTACATTTCTGAACATTTTTTAAAAAATGAAAATATACTGCTTATATATTAAAACCTTTATAAAAAGGAAATTGATAAAAGCTAAAAGAATTTAGCCTTTGACTCTACAAAGTTTTGTTCACAAAAATGAAATCTTTAACAGTATATAATTCAGAACTATAAATGGTAAGTTAATTGTTATTGTAATAACAATTTATGTTTCCATGTATTCTTATGCTATATTTCCATAGTTGAGAAGCCTTTTACGTGAAATATGTGTTAGTACTAATTCTGTTTTTAAAATCTTCCTCAAAGGAATAAGAATCTTGACAATTTCCTCATGGCATTATTATACTACTTATCTCATTTTTTGGAAAAAATCTCACTGGAAAAGAAACCCAAAAGCTACATGGTGTAAGTACGATTTTGTAGTTTGCTTTATACTTTTATCACCGTCAATATGATAACTAACTTTTTGTCTGTTGTTATGTGCCGTTGAGTATGAATCTATTCATAGCTGGCTCTCTTAATAGGTTTTCAGAGGCAGTAAATCTCATGGGACATTGCCCATCCTTTTCCAGTGGAGCAACTGGTGGATTTGAACCGCATGCTTTTTGGATTGGCAGTTGCAACTCTTTACCACTGGGCTATCAAAGAAAGCTCCAGGAAATTTCCAAAACTTAAAATTTACCATTTAACATTGTGTAAAATTAACATTTTATGCAATGAGTTTGCCAGTTCCTAAAGCTGACTGGACAATTTGAATTGAATAACTCAGACTAATATAATGAGAGCTACATATGTGCAATTTAAAATTTTCTAGTAGGTAATCCCTGGAGACAGACATTATACTTGGTAGAGAATCAACCAAAATTACCCTCACGAGCTTAATTGACCTAGTGGCTGTAACAGTGAGTGCAAGCATAGCAGCAGCTGGATGGTGCAGGACTGAACAGTGCTTCATTCTGTTGTGAGTCAGGGCTGAGTCAGCAACACATAATAATAAAAAACTCAAATTCATTACCGTTGAGTCAGAACCAACTCATTGCTGGCCTTCCAGCGGGTTTTCAGGGGCAATAAAACACATGGGTGGAGAATATCCATCCTTCTCCCATGAAACAGCTGGTGGGGATTCCAGCAGTTTCTTATGATTAAGCCACTAGAGCTTCCTGACATTTTAGCCCCTAAAACATTTTAAGAGGACCCAAAGTACCACCAAGAAATAATAATCAGGGGTGGGATATGCCTTTTTTATCTGAGTGCCTGCAGGAAGAAATTCCTGAAACTTGAACCTGGAGAAAGCTAGGTTTCCAGCGAAAACTGGACCTGTCGATGCTAAAGGGAACAAGAGCTTTTCTCCCACACCAACAGGGAGAGAACCTTCCCCTTGAGTTAATATCCTGAGCTTACACTTCTAGCCTCCTGAACTGTAGGAAAATAAATTTGTTTGTTAAAGCAAAAAAGAAAAAGTTGACTCCTGAACAAGGGTTGTTACATTGCAGAGAGTGGACTGGGGCGGGGGAAGAAGAAAAGGAGAGGGAGGAAAATGGGCAACAATGCATAAATAAAAAGCAAAACAGAAGTTGACATTTTGATAATATCTTTTACTTAATCCAATATCTCACTGTTATCACTTTTCAACATTTATTTTGCATTTTTAAACATTGTGTGTTTTTGAGCCCTGGTGTGTCTATTTAACCCTTGCAGCACATTTCACTGCAGACTAACTGCATTTCAGGCACTCAGCGGCTGCCCTCTTGGATAGAGCAGATGCAATACTGTTTGGTTTTTATGCTTACAAAGTCCTTTTTATAAAATTATGGTAAAATAGATTTCATATGAAATTTACAGTCTGAATCATTTAAGTATGCAGTGTAACAGTAGATTCACAAGGTTGTACAACCTTCATCATTACCTACTTCCGGATTTTAACCATCTCAGAGACTCTGTGCCCATTAAGTAACACCTTTCCATTCCTTCCTCCCCTTAGTCTCTAATAACCTCTAACCTACTTTCTGCCTCTGCAAATTTGCCTATTCCAGACATTTTATACAAATAGTCATACAGTCATTCTGCTTTTATGTCTAGTTTATTTCACTTATATATTTATGAATTCTTGTTAAAGGGTTCATAAGAATCTAACTTAAAACAATTACCAAGAATGAGAAATAATTAACAGGTTTTCAAAGTGGCATTCCAAATCACAGGAGAAAACCAAGTTTCTTAGGCTACTTTTGAAGACTGTAACTGCTTTTGGTAGAAGTGACTCAGGGCTCTAAACCAAGGACAAGAATCTGGGGATGCAGAGTCAAGAACAGAACAATACCCATCAGGCTTGGTGGCCTTTCACAAGTTGTAAAACTTTCCGAATGTCCAAGCTAAGACATCTTCCCCAGTACATGTGGAAACAACCCAATGGTTGGTTAGAAATACTTGATAGAGTAATTAATTTGTTGCTGTATTATGCTTTCAGAATGGTAAACTCTTGTACACAATTAAGCATTTTGGAACCATTTAATTGACAGATAAATGTGTCTGGACAGGAATTTTATAAAGAGCTAGATAAATAACTCAGACCCTACTGCTTCATAAAGCCATCATAATATGCAACAGCAGTGTTATTTGAGGCCTGCATTTCACAGCTCTGCAGCCAGAGATCATGAATGTTGCTATGGTAGCAAGCAAATGCCAGCTGTGTGATCAGGATTTGAGCATTCAAATATAAATTTACTAGATTTTGGTAGTTCTTTATATTTCATCAGATGATTTTCTGATTCTGGAGGTTATTGCTAATCTACCAAATAGATTTGTTTCATTTCTTAATTTACCAGAATGGATAACAAGGAAAGTTTTAAAAATGGACTGAAACTTAACTAGGGTACGGTTGCATAAGGTAGACTATTTCTTTGAAGGAATCAGTTACAGAATAGTAAAACCCAGACTTAAAAACCCAACACTTAAAAATGATTGATTCTTACAGTAGTGTTACACTTAAAAAAATCATAGCTTTTTTCCTTCATTTATTTCTTTTTGACAGTTGTGGAATTTTGCCTTCTAATTAACTCCTTTTTGTGTATCATAGCTTTTTTATAACCAGGTTTTCAATAATTAGTTGGTTTACTTACTGTAAGAGAATTACATACAGGTTACATTGAGGTATTTGCACAAAAATAAGTTTAAGAGTAGTGTGGGATAACATCCTCATCACAGTACCTGCTTCATAGAGTTATTATGCATGTTAGTTATATGTATGTTAGTTAGATATGTTATCTAAACCCAGTGCATTGTCATGTAACTCTTTAGCCCTGAGAGGAAGGCTTTAGGGGATTGGTTAGAGGAACAGAAAGGGATGCAGAAGGATGCCCAAAATACATGACATCATTTTAGATAGAGTAAAACTCTAAATCCAGAAGAAGGAAACTTAGTCTTATTTTATAGATGAATAAACTAAGTCATGGGGTGGGGAGGGAGGAAATGACACAACAATGAATGATTTTTTTTTTAACTAACTGGCGGGGATGGAGGAAAAGTGCAACAATGAATAAATGAAAAACCCAACTTTTCTGTAAGCTTTCATTAAAATCACAATTAAAAAAATTTGAAACTAAAAAAAGAAAGTAAGTCTCAGAGAGGTTAAATATCTTGCTAAAGAGTTGTTCTTGTTGCTAGGTGCTGTACAGTTAAGTACGACTCATAGCAGCCCGATGAACAACAGATCTGAAGAGTTCATACTTCATAAGTAATAGAGCTGAGATTAGATCTTCCGTAGTCCTTTTTGTTCCTCTGCCCTATTATAAAGTCTATACTTGAGCTGAGCCCTGGTGCCTTAGTGGTAAGGAGTTGCACTGCCAGCCCAACAGCAGGCAATTTGAATCTACTAGCTTTTCCAAAGGAGAAAGATGGGCAGTCCCCTCCTGTGCAGTTTGTAAACTTTGAAAACCCACTAGAGGGTTTGCTTTGAGTTAGTTCTGACTCCAGGGCAGTGAGAGAAATACCTTAACTACTATGTAACAGTACCCACTGTACTCTACTGATCTAATAGGGTCTTTTTCAGAGTTCAGTTGACAGTGCATTATGAGTCTGCTAACTGAAAGGCGGATGGTTTAAATACAGCTATGTACCCTACTCATCAACTACAGCCTTTGTAGTTACAACTATTCAGATGAAACATAGAAAAGCAGTTAGGGTACAGAGTTTGATACCATACAGCCTGGGTTAAATCCCATGTTGGGTTATAAATATTGAGTCCCTCTAATATTAGCTGAGTATATTACTATTAATTACTTTTATCTGTTTTAATAATATGCACTGCATAACTTTATATATAACATTTCTCCATTAATTTTTGGACTTTTTTTAAAAAAATGAGCTAGGTAAGAGGTTGATTTTTGATAAAAATTTATTATCATTTCTTTGGCTCTTGAAATTATGATCAAATATTTTTTCAAGGAATTATGCCTTTTTTAATGTAATCAATATACTATCATCAGTTTTATAAAAAATTTTTTAGCATTGGATAATTCCTATTATTTTAATTTGTTGTCCAACTTTTATTTTTTAAGTCTTTTATTGGTTTGCATACAATAATTTGATTATATTGTGTTTCATTCATGTATGATGATTTTTAAATTTTTTTCTTACTTACCAGATATAAGATGAGATTATTTGCAGTTCTTAAAGAATGTCATTGTTGATTTACTTGAACTACAAACTGACAATACATAAGGCAGTGTTACAAAATAAAATTTGGCAACAATACAGGCAGATTGTTTTCCAGACAGGGAGCTCTCATGTGATCAGGACAGCATTGGCTGGAATTTGGTTCCTGGATTAGTTTCTCTAAAGCACACACCTTTTCCTTTTTTGTAAACTCAACCCATAGGATTTATGTAAAAAAGTCTTATTTCTAAATGTGATCCAGGAAGCATTTGCCTCAAAATCATGTAGTGTTATTATTTTAAACATAATTTCCTGGACTCTACCCAGTCATCCAGCAATAGCAAGCTGTTTCTACTCATAAGGACATTGTAGAACAGAATAATCCGATAGATTTTCAGGCCTGAAATCTTTACAGAAGCATACTGTCTTTGTCTCATGAAGCAAGTGGTAGATTTGAACTGCCAACCTTTTCTTTAACAACAGAAAATCTTAACCACAGTGCGACCAGAGCTTACCTGGAACCTTGGAAATAAAGCCACATTAGAAAGTCACACTTTGAGCAAGCACCCTTGACAATGGTTTTATATATATATATATATTTGGATTATGTATATGGATTTTATATGTGGATTATATAGATATAAACATATAAACTTTGGTGACCTGGTGCAAGAAACTACTCTGCAATTCCAAAGGCACATGGTTCAAGGCCACCAGCTGCTCTGCAAGAGAAGGATGGGCAATCTCCTTCTGTGTGATTAAGTGCCTCTGAAAACCAACTGTAGGGTCAGCTATTGGTTGGATCCAACTCAATGGTACACAACAACATACATATTAAAGTCTAAGAATTATTTTTCAAGGTATTTCTGAATTGTTGTTGACTTGTTTTGTTTTCAATAGCATGAGTATTAGGTCCTGGCATCTCTGGCAAAGTAGGAGTGAAGGACAAGAGTGGGGGCTGCAGAAGGAGAGCAGGAGGGCAGATGCAGTGGTGGCCATTGAGGGTGTGGAGGGCATATTTGGGTCATATGGAATTTCAGCACATAAAGTTGGAGCCTGCCCACTATATTATAACAAAAACTAAGCCAGGAAATCATTCCAGTGGTTTATGAGCCTCCTGATCACATGATAGCAGGTTTGAGGGCTTTTAAATATCTAGATTATCCTAAACTTGCCCCTTTGCCTGGACAGGGAATCTTTATGTCATTAGTCTAGTAGTTAACACCAGAAGGAGCAATTACTTATTCTTATAGTTACAGCGCATTTAATTGGTTCAAATCTTTCTGCTGATTAAATGGCAGAGAAAAAGCTAGTGGTAGTTTGCTTTTCAGGAATGGCATATTGGGATGAATTGTCGGTTATATTGCTTCCTACTATATTAAACTACAAAATGGTCTAAAATGATGCCTCAGACATGCTGTAACCAAAAACAGGTTGCCTTTGTAAAAGTCCATTTGCAATTCAATTGAAATTGGAGTTGTGTAGTCACAGGAAGGCAATACTACTTTAAGGAATGTCAAAGTTCTCAGGCTCAAATGCCTCCTTAGCCAACACAGTTAAACTCAGAACTGAAAGTAGGCTCAACTGCAGACATAAAACTAAAAAAAAAAACAAAACAAAACCACAAACCCTAAACCAAAAACACCCTCAAACTCATTCCCATTTTGTCAGAAACAATTTAGTTGACCAGCGGGTTTTCGAGAATGTAAATCATATGGAGAGGTTGCCCATCTTTCTCTTGAAGAGTGTCTGGTGGGTTCAGACTTGTCAGAGAGATACGTCTTTTTGGATTAATAGTGAAACTCCCTATGGATTGGGCCAGGAGAGTTTGCTTTGGCATCCCAAACTCCGTGATAACATTGGAAACTCAGAAGAAGCTGTGGGAAACCAGAATTTCAACAGTTGCTTTACCAAAATAACAAGTACATCTTAGGTAATTTCTTAGTTGAACAATTCTATACCTAACTGAGAATACAAAACATAAAGCATAAAGAATTTCTAAAAAAGCAAAATCTCTATAAATTTGAGAAGTACAGTGATAAATACCAGAAGACTTTGAGGTACTTCGTACACCATTGCTCAAGTGAAATAAATAATGAGTAAAATCTGTTGATTCATTTGTATGTTGTTGTTGTTGTTAGGTGCCGTCGAGTCGCCTGCGACTCATAGCAACCCTATGTACAACAGCCCTAAACTCTGCTCTGTCCTGTGCCAATCGCACTGTCTCCGACACTCCCATCCCAATTATCCCAATCACTGAATCAATCCACCTAAAAATAGGTTATAATTCCAGTTTTTACTAATTAATACAAACATTTTCCAAAGTTAATCCAAAATGTCATGTGTTTTGTTTTTTGGGGTTTTTTTTTTTTCAGAACTCTTGTAGAGAAGAAAGAAATACAATTAGTCCTAAGGAAATTAGATGCAGCCCAGAAATATTTGGCAGAAAAGTACTGTTTGCTAGTACTGGGCCAGGGGTTGCCTGACAAGCATCATATGTGTTGCGGAAAGTAAGTGCATGCTAAATTCTTCCTAACATCTTCATTTGTTTGCATATCTGCAGCCACTTTTTTTCTGATGCTATTCATGCATGTTCTTGCCCTTCTTTGGTCAAACTATTTACCTTTCTTTTCTCATTTTAAAAAATAAAGTCTAGTTTCTAATTTATTTGCTCAGCATACAGATTGACTAAGTATGGTGAAAGGATACAACCCTATCTTACATCTTTCTTGATTTTAAACCATACAGTGTCTCTGTGTTGTATTCGAACAACTGTTTCTTGGTCTGTGTAGGCTCTGCATGTTCTAGATTCCCATTCTTTGCAGTGTTGACTGTATTTTGATTACATAGTTGAATATCTGCATAGTCATTAAAACACAGATAGATGTCTTTAATAATTAGAGAAGCTAGGCTATGTGAAAAACAGCACTGCATCTGGATTGGCGGAAGAGTTATTAACAATTTATAATACGCAGATGGTCCAACATTGCTTGCTGATATTGAAAGGGACTTGGAGCAGTTTTTTCATCAATTACTTTCTTATCTTCCAAGTTTCACTTCAAGTTGAGAAAATGAAAATTTTAAGTTAAAAAGTAACATAGCAGAAAAATGCTTTTATGGCTCATAATTTTAATATTTTTAAAGCAAGTATCCATTGCAAAGGTTTGGGGATTCTTTTTTTTTTTTTTTTAAACAAACCCAAACCGAACAACTATAAATAGCACAATCACAGATTTTTGTCATGTTTTCTCAGTTACTGGGCAGTTGAACCTCCACTAAAGTTATACTTCCTATAATGCATTTTTTTGGAAAATACAGTCTCTATACAACACTTTAAAAGGGCCTAGTGTGTGTGAAAGGAGATTGGTTCTGGTTAGTACTAGCTCATTTCCCATTGTGCCATTTCCCCTACTTATTGGATAGCAGTTTGGAGAAGAATTACTTTAGAGATGCAAATCCATCATCATCTAACACATTTTTCCAAGTCAAAGAACAAAATGAAGCATAAAGAGAAAAGTAGAATATAACATGGTTTTACTAATAAAAGTTGCTAATTGGCTCTGGGTGTTTTCTTTATCATTTTAAACATTAAATTCTTGATTCAGGAGCTGATATTGTTCTTTTGGTGGTTTTTATCTAGGGCAGGGGAATGAGAGAATGTTTTGGCCAGTTATGAGTTATTAATGAATTCTAACATATTATTCACTTCTTCCCAGTATGAATAAGCTAATTGTCCCATGAGAACATCGCTGTGTGTATTTTCTGACTGTCATTTCTTTTCCCTGCTTAATATTGGGCTGGAACACCTCTCTGCAGTTAAATCAGACATTTCACTAGAACCAGCATTTTGAGGGCTGGTGTATCTTGTTTAGCTTTCATGTCTGTTGAGAAGTAAACGTACCTTCCTTACTATTTTAATGCTGTTATGTGCCGTTGTTGTTATGAGTCGCCTGTGTGTCATAGCAACCCTATGTACAACAATCCCAAACCCTGCTCTATCCTGTGCCAATTTTATTGTCTGTGAGACACCTACTTTCAGTTACTGAATCAATCCATGTCATAGACGGTCTTCCTCTCCTGCGCTGTCCCTACACCCTCTCAAGTATGGCATCCTTCTCCAAGGACTGATCTTTCCTTACACCATGACCAAAGTATGTCAGACGAAGCTTCAGAATCCTTGCTTCCAAGGAGCAGCCTGGTTTAACTCTCTCCAGGTCAAAGCTGTTCATTCTCTTAGCAGTCCATTGTATATTCAATACTCTTCTCCAGCACCGCAGCTCAAAGGCATCAATTCTCCTTCTATCACTCCTAGTCATTGTCCAGCTTTCTGATGCATAACAAGTGATTACAAAGACCATGGCCTGTATCAGGCACCCCTTAGTCTCCAGACTGACATCTTAGCTCTCCAGTACTTTAGAGGTCTCTAACAACAGACTTTCCCATCACAATACATCTTTTAATTTCCTTGCTGCCCGGGACACGAGTGTTGATTGTAGAGCCAAGCAAACTAAAGCTGTTAACAATTTCAATCTCTTCATCATCTATCATGATGCTGACAATTGGCCCAGTGGTAGGAACCTTTGTTTTTCTGATGTTGAGCTTCAATTCATAATGAAGGCTTCAGTCCTTGACCTTCTATAGTAAGCACTTCAGATCCTCATCAGTGTCACCAATCAAGGTTGTGTCATCTGCATAATGTGGACTGTTTATGAGTCCACATTCGATCTTTTTTTTTTAAATAATTTTAATGA